AAACTTCTTTGGTTTTTCATTAAATAAATTTCTCGCTTTCGACACAAACTTATAGGGCGACCTAATATTTTTCACCATAAGTATACATTTAAAATTTTTTAACTGCTATGCTGTATTTCTCTGGCTGACTACATCTCTACTACACAGTGTAAACTATAGTAAATATACTATAATCACCTTCAGTAGCAAAAGAGTTAAATCAATTACCTACAGTTCACCTAATCAGAACCTAAGGATATTCCTCGATAATAAACATCAGGAAAATAATGAAACACTAAAATCCTACTTAAACCAGAATTACCAAAAACAAACAAACCTCTCATCTACCAAATCACATCCTCGAAAGGACAGCCATAACCGCAATCACCTTTAGCAGTGAAAATGTTAAATCAATCACCTACACTTCACATAATCAAAACATCTACCAATATTCCTCGAAACTACCAAACCCCTAAAATCCCACACTAAATCAGAACGACCAAAAACGAAAGAAATAAATTCGCGTTCGGAAAAATCCTCTCATCTACCAAAGCACATCCTCGAAAGACAGACATAACCTTGCTGGATCTGTCGAGAGCGTTAGCCTCGCAACATAATCTCCATCGAAATTTATCGGTGGATTCCCATTCACCGTTCCCCCATGAAACGAAAGTGACTGTAACCAAACGGCACTTCGTTTATTCCAAGTCCGCTCGTTAATTTTCCCGAGCAATGAGCCCTGGGTATATCACCGTAACGCCAACGATCCAACTTCTCCTCATAAAAATTTATAACACGCTCGCGACCTTACGATACTCGCGTTCGACTGTCGAACCAGCGTTAAGCTCTCTCTCTCTCTCTCTCTTTGTGCACAGATCACTTGTTTCTCCTCAACGTGGCTTGTGAATTCGCCAACATCGTTCCACAGGAAGATTAAAACGATACAGAGAGGCTGTAAACGCGTCGCCTCGTCTACTGTGCGCTCGTAACAAGCTATCATAAACGAGTGTTTATTAAAATATACGGGATATCAGAGACACTCGGACGAGTTTATGTTGGTTTCACGAGCATATCAAGGATGGCGTTAATTTGTGAGAACGAAGTTTCGTGTTTCTTGGGCTAGTGGTGTCCAATGACGCTGGTCAATGTGGCTTTTGTCACAAAGAATGTTTCAAATCTGCAATCAGATTTTTTCCATAACCTATAGTTCCTGTGTGACAGTGCTTTGTGTTAGTTAATAATGAGTGAATTCGCTGTTATTTTGTCAATAACAGTGTAATAGGGTGAATTTAATTTGTGCTCAGAGTGCCTGAGTCGAATATTGTGTTGTACTTTTATAGTGTTTTAATAAATTTGAGAAAAGTATGAGTTAATAAACATGACAGACAGCTTCTACTGTAAAAATTCAAATGTTGTCATTTGATAACTGTCGTTCCTAATTTTTAAAAAATAGGTTTTTCACTTAAAAAATCTGAAAAATTTCTTGGATACGTAACACCCTGGCTATAGTATCTCAGATTTTTTTCAGAAATTTTTACAGGATGGAACGAAAGAAATAAAGTGTAAACTGTAAATCATGTTTAGGTCGATAACTACCCTAATGATTGAAGCAGAGGCACTTTAATCATGCTTATTCGACTCTACCCTTTGAGTAGCTTCGTTGAAAACCCTAATTTCTATACTTTCACCAGAGATAGGTGTATCAAAAAATTTTTCCCTATATTTATATCGCAACTGTGTCAAATATATGGAAATTTACAATTATTATTACACTGACCAAACACAAAATGGAACAAAATCATCCCTAAATACTACTTCGCAATTTTCGCAAAAGTGATTAGACGTGCGATCCGAATTGTGCAAATGAAAAATTATCTAAATTCCAGGTTGCAAAGAAGACGAAACGCAGCGGGGCTATTCTCCAGGCTCTTAACTGAATGCAATTAGTCCAATTGTCTTGAGTCCGTGTAATTGAAGCAGTTATAGAGCATCGCGAGCAGAAAGTGTTAATGGAATCAGCCCAGCATTTAACGAATGAAATCCAACTCTGACATAAAACAGTCCGTTTAATTCACGCTAAAAGGGAAATTTCTGATAGAATTACAAACTCTTGAAACGAATACGTAAAACGGATTAAAATCAACCTTAAAATCCGCGGAATCTACGATTCGTTGCTGCTACTGCCGCAATAAGAAAAAAAAGAAAGAAAAACACCGTACAATTCAATGAAGTTTATTCCAGTTTCAATCTTTTCACCAGTTCTGATAATCTGCGTGTCACGGTAGATCAGAGAGTGAACGCGCCATTAATTCGTTTATGCTACGCTGTGTACCGGACCGAACAGGATTTTAAACGGCCCTCATAAAAATTTATACGCGTGTATCGAAGGTTTCGCGTCGCGCGGCAAACACCAAGAATCCATCCATTAAATTTCGCCGCAACGGTGAACCGGGCGCGTCGAAATTCTGTAATCGCGAAAATAACGGTGACAAATTGCGCGGCTGCCGGCTGTAGAATATTGAGATAAATTGTTTTTGACGGTTCACGAAGAAATTCTGAAGAAATTGTAATAAATCGTCCTCGGGGGAGGAAGAATATGCTCGTAAAAACCACAATGGAATACATATTTTACAGCCCATAAATCATCGGATATTTAGTAGATTCAAGGTAAGGACGAAATTTCTGTTACGATACGATAGTAACGCTTATTCATCGATCACCCGGTATTTTCTTCCATTATTCTTCCAAACATTGCAGTAATTTTAGAGGGGCGATAGCGTACAATTTTAGTTCTGTTGTATTTTTTTATTTGGATAGAGGAAAAACGTGTTTACTTGGATATTAGATCACGCTGTTGGGTCTGTGGAATGAAAATATACGGGGTGTCCAAATTTTTTCTGATCAAACTTTATCAAACTTTGTGAGCATGTTGTATGGGTGTAAGTGAGAAGAAAGTGTCGTATGAACATGGGTCGTTTGAAGATTTGTTGAGAAGTTATAGCAAAAATACGGAATACGAAGGAAGTGTGTTTCGTATTATTGTTGTAGCTTTCCAATGAAGCTTCAAACGACCTATGTTTATATGACATTTTCTTCTTAGCTATACTCGTAGAACATATTGGCAAAGTTTGATCGGAAACAACTGGGACACCCTGTATATGTTAGAAAGCAGTAATATGAATTTTGAAGTACACTAGTATTCAAAAATTCCAAGGTAAAATTCATTTCTATATAATTACTATTAATTTTAAAAAGCGAAATCATTTGTAAGAGTCTTTGAAATCGACAAAGACGATAATTCCAAATTTTTAAACGATCGTGCATTGAAAACAGAATGTAACTGTTCTCTTTTATTTCGAAATCCTGCTTGCTCCAAAACAGAGAACGTTTCAAAGAAATCCTTAGGAAATTCTTCGAATAAGAAATGTCATATCTCCTTTTCACAAGTGAAAATAATTTCCCGGAATTTTATCGTTGCTCTTGTGTTTCCATGTAAATTCCAAGGAATTGCTTAGATGCTCGGCAAGAAATTACAGATGAAAATGTATGCAAATTACTCGCGACGGCAAGAAACTCAGCTTTGAAATGAAGTCCGATCGACCCATCGATCGTGGTTTCGGTCGAAAAAGGAAATTTAAGTGGGAACTCGTGTAACTTATAACCGGACCAGAGATTGGTGGTTCAAGGGAAAATGATCCCGGGGCAAGAAAATAGGGATCGAAAATGGATCTGACCACGTGGAGACAAGGCGAGGTCCTTCGGGAAATATACATGTATTATTTCATGTTATGTAAAGAAACAGTGGAAATTGAATAATACGAAAGGACAACAGTGTGAAATGTAGTCTTGTTTATCTAGAATTTTACTTCATTCGAAGCGTATTTGGAAATTTAAAGAAGCTGCTCGAGCAACACGAAGACTGTGAGAAATTTGAATTTGAAATAAATTGATACTTAACAGAGGAAGTTAATTAAAGCATAACAATGTGAAAATGAAATTAATCAGGTATTAAAATTTGTATGTAAATATTTAGGCATTACTATACGCAAAATATTTGTAGCATTTTTTCAGCTTAGGTTTTATCAGACAAGAAGAGACGAATATATTTTTCAGGATGTTGACACTTTTTTCTCACAAACAATGATATCAAAGCTTGAAAATAGGTCGACTTGCTTTTATACAGCTGCCATCCATAAATCAGACGATCGTCATGATCGAAATATTGCAGGGAACGAAACATTCTCGCGGATCCATCAAACGGATATCTTTTCTCTGGATATTTAACCCTTTCATCGCAAAAGCAAAACACACGTTATGCGCGATAAATTTATGATGCAGCATAAATCACAGTATACTGTCTATAAAACACTCTTTTTACTGGAAAGGTGGCAACTTTATTGAGAAATGAAATTACGAACAAAATGCAAATTGGGTACTTGTATACTTTAATAGCATGTAGTAAACAATTGTTAATTTAATAACATTCTAAAACGCAAGGGAGAAACTGTTAAAAATGCAAAGAAATGCAAAATTG